GATGAAGATATTGAAAAGAGTGCATCTTGTGACAACTCCCTGTGGAAGACCTGTTTGTAAAACACTGGATTTTGATAGAGCATTTCCATATCTGACTGTACATGATCTTTGAATGCTTTTATCCAGTTTAGCATGTTATTCTTAATAATGAACGCTTTTATCCAGTTTAGCATATTATGCTTAATACCAATCTCCAATTTTAGAATTAGCTTCTCTTTCCATACTATGTCATATGCGTTTGAAATCGACGAAAACAGCCGCAAGGGTATTTCTTGCACCAATTTTCGAATTAGCTTCTCTTTCCATACTAAGTCATATGCTGATTTGAAACCGACGAAAACAGCCGTAAGAGTATTTCTTGCATCAAGGGAGGTGAATACAGACGTAAGAGTATTTCTCGCATCAAGGGCATCTTTGATATGATGGGAGAAAGTGGCTACATGTTGGTTAAAAACCTGCTTGTTCATTCCTAAGAACATTGTTGGACTCAAGGAACAAGGTCAGCCTCCTGTTGACCATTCTTTCCATAAGTTTAGCCAGCGCGCTTGTGAGGGAGATGGGCCTATAGTTGTCAAAGTTGAAAAGCGTCAGCATGGTTTCCTTGGCTTTTGGTCCCATTCTAATTAGAAATTCTGGATGAATACCGTCTTCGCCAGGAGACTTCTTGTACTTTAGCTGTTTTGTTGCAGCATTCAGTTCGCAAGGTCTGAATGGTTCAGTAGGTACATTATTTGGTATTGTTGTGTCTTCCTTAATTCCACCAAAGCGTCTTACTTGTATCTTTAAATCTCTTGAAGATTTTCTGACAAAAGGGTTTTTTTGCTTGTGGGAATAGAACCCCGCAAAGCAGTTGGCTATTTCGAAGTCTGTGGTAAGCAGTTTGTTTTTTAAGCGTGTTGGTTCTTTCTTGGGTCTTTCCTTGTTGTTTTGGAGGTTCCCAAAAAAAGTGCGTTGGCTATCACTTTGATAGTTGGTACTTGAGATACTCTGTTGTTTTGCAGATTTCTCAGAAATTTGAAAGTGCGCCATTGTTGTTTTGGAGGTTACCCAGGAATTTGAAAGTGCGTTAGCAGGTTTTTCAGGAATTTGAAAGTGCGTTGGCTATCACTTGGATATTTGCTATTTGAGATGAAGTTATCAAAGGTAGTCCGTTTATCTTGTAATATAGCTCGCCTTAGGACAGCTGATTGTCGTCTCCAGGCTTGTACGTCTTCCGTTCTTCCAGTCTGATCAGCAGTGTTGCGAAGGGCGTCCCTCTTTCTTTTCAGTTCCTCCATTTCTTTTCAGTTCCTCAAGGTGCTTAGACCAAAACACCCGATAGTGTTTAGTCTTGCCTCTGGCAGACCATCTCTTTCTTTTCAGTTCCTCAAGGTGTTTGGACCAAAACAGCTTTCTTTTCAGTTCCTCAAGGTGTTCAGACCAAAACACTCAATAGTGCTTAGTCTTGCCACGGGGAATAGTTTTCTTTACACATCTGATCACAATATTAGTGATTTCGTTGCAAAGTTTGTCAGGACGTTAGTTGAAGTTGAGGGGACTCGTGTAGAAGTTCATTCTCTTAAAGGTTTGTGAATCTAGACCAATCCGCCTTCTTGAAGTTCCATAATAGCCTAGTTGGCACTTTCGTTGTCATATTTTTGATGCCGATGGTAATACTAGCAATGACTGGTTTGTGGCCAGACTCATGCTTTTGCAACCGATGGTAATACTAGCAATGACTGGTTTGTGACCAGAAAACCTAATTATTTTGCGGCGTGTATGCTCGCTGATGTCGTTTGAAGCCAGGAGTAAGTCATGAGTTGTTCTGATTCCATGGTAGGTCAGATATGTAGCAGGATCCTCATTGCTATAAGTTCTAGAGGGTTGCTGTTAAGCATGTCTTCGATTTTCTTTCCAGCTATGTTTGTATTCTTATAGCCACATCTGGTGAAATGGACGTTGAAGTGTCCCACTACTACAGTTGTGTGAGATGTTAAGAAGATCAAAGTTGGGACTAATCTGAGGTGGATTATAGACTGCGTATATCTTGAAGAGGTTTTGACGTTTCCATACATTTAATCTGATTATTTCGCATATGTCTTGCGTCGAGCTCATACACTTGATTAGATCGTAATGTGATGCGAGGCCTTTTTTTACTCCAATCATAATTCCACTTACAACTTGCCGGTATTTAGATAGAAGGTATAAGGTGTAACCTGAGAATTGGTAGTATTTGAGTTTTTCATTCGTAAGGTGAATGTGAAAATGTCTATATCATAGGAATGTAAGATTTTTTGGATTTGGTTCTTTTTGTCCTGTGACATCACTCCAGCATTCCACTGAAGAATCTGTAGAAGTTGTGATTCGCCCTGACGAGGGTGATTTCTCTTATAGCTTCCTTTCAAGGTAATCAAAATAAATTGAAGCCAAATGCCGAGTAATAGGCTTTTATGCCGCATGAATATACGTTGTCTAGGTTACACCACGTGGAGGTAAGTCTATCGCGCACCCCACATTCATATACTAGATGACAGCTAAAATGAATGACTTGAATCTACTTGAATCGTGGAAGAAAATAACTTGCGTCACGACGATTACCAATGTTTTACCTAAAATGAGGTTAGAGCAGTTGATCAATGCTCCATCAAGACTCTGATCACAATCCGGCATGAACCGTTAAAGTGTACTGATGACTTCTGGACTGATGTGTCCAGGAACAAACAGCACAACAGACCAACCCATCTGATTGTGCTCACGCAGATCTTCCCGGAATGCCCGAGTGTTGATGCACCCTGGCAACTCATTTCTGGCCACCACATCACTCAAATACTTTTGTGTTTCAGTCTCAAACATGAAACTTGTACTCCATCGTGAACCACGCTTCTACAGGCATTCGCAATTATTGCAGAGATCGATTTCTCACTAACAAAGACCCATGAAAATCGTCCAACCAAAGCGAAGGTACTTTTGAGCAAAGCGAAATTTTTCTACTGAAGCAGAAACAATCAAGTTACATCAAGGTGAGGCAGAATTTTGCCAAAATCAAAGGCTCAACACACGTACACATAGATGTCTTATTTTTGCATATAGTCAAAGGCACGCTTCTCGATTCGTTAAGACTGTAGCTCATAAAACTCTTGAAAAATAAACACCCCTTTAAAATTTAACTTCTGAATCTTTTTTCCCAAATTTTATAGTGATCATTGAGGTGTCCAGA